TCGGAATAAGTTACATATAGTAGGTATACTATTAAACCTTTCAAAGTTCTGTTTTAGTTGTATACCGCGTGATATATTTAATGTAATAGACACTAATATTAACTAATATTATTAACAACTATGAACGTCTTTAAAAATATTTATTTTAGATAATTTAATGCCAGTAAAAAACAAAATTTGTTTACTATTTGCAATGACTACATGCATTAGATTTATGAAAAATACATTTCAGACRAGTAATATTCAAGAATTACAAATAGGTAGACACTTATAGTTCAGATGGTCGAGAGTGGATTTGTTCTACACTTTTCCATTAATCTAATTTTAAATATATTTAAAACAGTTAGTAAACCTAGCTACTTAGTTGTTCAAAATTTGATTTGTTTAGATTGAAATACACATAACGAATTATGTATTCTTCTATGAAATATGGAGATATGAAATTAAAAATGTATATGTCATTATAGTTCAAAATAGTAAAATTAAAAAAATTATTACAATAAAAAGTAGTTAAAACATAGTTTTTCTAAAAATATTGTTTTATAGAGACTTAAAATTATTTGTAGAATAAATATTTTCGAAAATGTTTCCTACAGTTTGCTTAAATATTGAGTGTTTAATATTAAATAGATCACCGCGTATAATTCATATAATACTTAACACGTAGGTCCATTTAGAAAACTTTCAAGTGAAATGTCACGATCGTTCCACGAAAACGACATTTTCAACTACTGGTGGTTCCTGAGCTGCGTGACGCGAGAGTACGGGAGATAAGAGTGATAAGGCTATACTTTATTATAATACATTGTTTTTATAATAATATGCATACGGGAAGTTCAAAATCGACACGAAACAAAATCAACGTTACCGACAATGGACTATACTATGGATGATGCTGCGTAAATGAGAGGATGCGAATGTGCACAATGCAAATAAATTGATGCGTATATAATATAATATTGGTGTATATTTTTAATATTAATATAAATTATTATTWTAATCTACGTAACATTATTATTATGTTGATCGACAGAAATTTTGAGTGATCCGTCGGGTGGGCGTGGGACGAGGGTGGAGTGAACTGATAACTATATTCTCCACAGTCAGTAGGTATATATCGTGGCAACGAATGTAATTGACATTTTGATAAATACGACGTGACTTTCGTATTTCATTTTTATTATTTTTTTAATCCGTCTACAGCGGCGCGCGCTGCGCTTAATAAAATGTAATTTATTATAATAAATGGGATCGCGTCATAAATGACCGTGTGATCTACATTGCACAATACTTTATGTATATACATAGTGTATGTTCTACGAGTGTGGAATATGTGCATGTGTTAGGTTGGGTACTCACAACTATATATATAAAATAATAATAATAATAATAATACTTTCAACTCTATTATTATTATTATTATTATTATAACTATCATCATCATTATCATTATCATCGTCGTTGTCGTACTTTGCCACACTACCTTGTGATTCTTCGATAATCCATTATTACATTCAGATACAATAGTGGACGACGAGAACCGTCGGTATACAGGAGTTCTAGGAATTAGATATTATTTATTTTTTCGCAATACTGTGGCGATTCATAAAGTCGGACAAAGCGTAAAAATGGGTCAATTATTATTTTATTAAACATCAAGTGTGTGTGTGTGTGTGTGTGTGTGTGTGTGTGTGTGCATGAGCTTGCCCGCATAGTATGTATAGTTATTATTATTGCTGTTGTTGTACGTTTCGATACGCGTAAAGTTGTTAACGAAAAATTAAAAGCGTTTTAGAGGGTCGTGTCAAGGCCATCGCAACGATATAGATAAGCGCAGCACCATTGTATATATTGTGATATTTCCGTCTAATCTCAATCGAATTATTTATATGTACAAAAATACACAGCATCTTGACCTAGTTATGATATATATATATATATATATATATTATATTTAGTGTTCAATTTTCTATTAGTATTTTTCTCATTTGCGCGCCATTATATGAAATAACATTAAAAATGTTATGTTTTATACACGATACAGTATATATACAGCTTTTGTTTGATCCGATATATCGACATAAAATGCACTTAATTTTTTTACATTTTCACCCGACATGTCGTCGTCTGCTATTCCCCTCAAGTACGGCGTATAGTAGCTAGTAATTGAGAGAAAAAAACCTTCTCCTTACAATCTGCACACGCATAAACCTCCCGTCCTGCGCAATATAGGCAAATCGTGAGAACTTGGTAACTAAACAGATTTTATCGTTCCTTCGTGGGTASGACATGCTGTGTTTGCAGCAATCTTTTATCCTTTTTTCCGTCCGCCAACTGTCCTTGTCCAGACATGAGCAATAGACATTAGGTATATGCTGCGTATGATAACAATGATTATTTTCAATAATATATATCACCCAGTTTTGTTTGCTAGAAAGCTATAATGCAGTTACTGCTTCAGTGTGACTATACAGATAATTGCAGTGGTCGCGAAGAGATGAACAGAATCGGAACGATCAATGTTTTTGCGCCGTTTTATACAATATTATATATAGTTGCGTTCGAATAATTAGTACGGATAATACCTTTAACTATAAAATATATAGTATATAAACCAACTTAATTGACAATGGAGACAAATCGTATTTAATACACATAGATTTCTATCCGGAATTGATAAATCGTTCGACAAAAACATCGTAGTATAGTACAAATAACACTATATTATTACCTATATATATTATAAAAGAATGTAATATATTGCAGTCAACGACCACAATCTACGACGTTTCGTGACATTTATGTATTTATTTTTTCATCGTATTTAAAACCGTTTCTGTACATTGTACAATGTTTTCTGTAAGTGTAGGTGTATATACACTATTACAATAAAATTCATAGGTATAACATTTAATATGCGTTAGTACGGACAGTGCCTGCCACCTGTAACCTACAATTGCATTGTACACAAGATCTGCTGCAGAATTTAACAAAAAAAACAATTTAGTGTATACCATCGTAAAATTTATATCGATTTCTTAATAATATCATATCTATCGTTTACAACGTAGTTGATTGCGGTCCCGTTTATGAACTATATTATTGCGCTATCTAAAATTTCTAATTTCGTTGGATATTATGCCGAACCAACTAATTCAATAAATTCTATTAAAAGATAATATATATTATTACTTATTAGCAATATAAGTACGCTTATATATATTATGTCGGATCTATAGCGGGATTAGCGAACTGGCTTACTCCATAGCCAGCGCTATTAATTTCTTTAATAAAAATGTTAAACTAGAAAATTAGCACACGTAAACAAATCTGAAGATATTTACAAGTATAAGGAAACTGAAAAAAATTAAATGACGATAAATGTACTAGTAAGGCATGATACACCTAGCTGTTTATGTTATTATGCACTATCTATACCTATACTTAGTTATTACTTTTAAGTATTTTGTATGTATGCGTTTATTTATATTTGTATATTTTAACGTTTTCTATTTTTTTTAGAATCAGTAATTTAAATTGAAAGAAAACTTCAATACTAATCCATGACATTTTACATATAGGTAAAACTAGGTATACCTAGATATAAAAATAGCTCTTATTGTTTATTGTTACGGAGAGATAATATCGTACTAATTTTTTTGTTAAATCGTCAATTAGCCGTATTTGTGTATACGGTGGTTATTTTTGTAGAGAATCGAATGTTTTGGATTATTACGCGTACGCAAAAATACTGAATAAATAGTATTTTAGCATGAAAAATATTATCGTTATAACAAATGATATTTTGTGTGGACTGGGAACAATGAAACTGAAAAAAAGTTAATAGAGCGTACCTATATTATATTATACGTAGTGTCGTCGACGAACAGAAATAACCGCACGTGTGAGTGACGTCTACAACACATATTATTATACCTGCAACTATATGGTACCTATTAGTATTACACCTCTATACAGTTTCATTTTGGAAAACGTAACAATTCCACTTTTGAACTTAACACACAAAGTATTTAATAGTAAGAAGAACATACGCACAATGCGCACAATGTGCCGACGCAATAGAATATGGTAATCTCTAATACAATTTTCCTTTTGACATCAAACACGCACAATTCAACTCGATCGTGTACGTTAAATTTAAATGCAAATATTGCGCACAATGAAAATACTAAATTTCTTTCTCCGACTGAGAGCAAATGGTTTTTATACGGTCAATTAGGAATTGCATATGAATACAAACGGTGATGTTAGATTATAATAATATTATTATTTTTATTATTATAATATTAAAATCTGCTTAGCTCGTAAACTCGATTCAAGTTTTTTTTTTTTTGCTTCAMAGTTTAAATGATTAACTATCGATATAAAAATCATAAAATTATAATACTCTAATTTAATCGATGCAAGTATAAATATATTATAGGTTCTATACGACTGCCATCAACAACATGTTTCACGAAAATTTAAAAATAAATAATTATTATAGTTATAATATTGATATTGATACAAATTACAATAGTTACACGAGTTAAAAAATAACGGTCACTGCATAAAAAACACAAATAAAATTGAGGTTTATACTTTTTATAAAAAAAAAACGTATGAATAAAAAAAATTAAACACGTATAATATAAATATAGTCATTACGAATACTAATACCTAACACATAAATACAAATTATATAGGCCTTATAAATTCCAAAAAATATTCAATTGGAATTTATAACATTCCTTAAAATAGTGTTACGATTAGTTGATAAAAAATATCTTGATTTTTTACATCCATTAAATGCAATGATTAAAGAAATTTAAGTGGTAATATTTATATTTTAATTCGAAAAAAAATCTTTTATTGTGTTGTACGACGTACCAATACTTTCTGCATAACCATTTAACGAGTGTTTACGGGATTAAATGAAAAAAAGTCATAAAAATAAAACGAATCAATACAAAGCAGCTCAACAATGTAATAATAATTACCTGCGTAACGTAATCAGTTATATTATTTCATTCCACGTAGATCAATTGACKTGTGGATCGTATTATATATGGACAACCACTAGGAAATGGGAACTTGAACGCGGAAAAATCTACCTCAACAAGGCCGTAGATGGTAAAAGCGAAATGCAAGCTCAGCCAAAAACACTTGGAAATGTTATGATGGTCGGAAAAAATAAAACTGACTTTTCGCGGATAGTCGAATCGCTCGCGCGCACACACACACACACTTGGGCGACGGCACAGCAACTCGTCGCACAGAACATACGAAACCGCACACGCTTTGTAAAATATTATTAATATTATTATTATCATCAAAACAATACGAATTTAATAATATTGTAATAACTACGCGTAAGTACCTATATAATACGCACAACAACCGCACATCGCCGCTGCAGCTGTTGTACACGGGCACACGCGCGCGCGACACACGCACATTTGCGGACTGTGGAGTGTCTAGTCACGTCGTTCTAAGCACGGCTCCCGCCCGACTACGAAAAGTAAAAAATATAAATAATAATAATAATAATAATAAATAAAACCAGAGGCTACGGCGGCGGCGGCTGCGTTACCATTTGGCGAGCCGTCTCGCGGAGGGGGCGGCGGCGGCGGTCGGACTCGGACCAAGTGAATGAGCGTATAATATAAGAACATATATATATATATATATATACTATATAGGTATAGGTATATACTGGGCAAATATAGGTATACGCGCGCACACAGTTAACCCTTCAACGGACTTATGCATAATGCAATAATATAGTCGCACGCGCGATTAGTCGTCAATTCGTCACGCGCGCACTCAGTACTGTTTAGTGTTTATCACGGGTCGTTTTTGCCTATCCTCCGTCCTCAGAGATTTCAATAAAATTTATTTGTTTTTTGTAATTTATGCCGGGTGATAACTAGGCAGACGAGTCATCTATTTTTTTATTTTTATTTTTTTGTAGAAAATCCAATTTAAAAGTAAAAAGTGCTGTAATAAAATCTGTTATCTGGTAAAGTTGTAGATAACACAAATGGACCGAATAAAATACAAATACAAAAAGAGAGAGCCCCTTAGAACCAGGTGGTCCATTTAACGTACGTCCACACGTATGACACTCATCGTTTTAAAAACTATTAGCTTTTCTAAAAATATTTGTTTTAATTGATTTTAAATTATTAATAAACGTATATAATATATGTATATTCATATATATATATATATATATTTTAATGCCATTAATATCATTTACTTTTTTAATAATAACATATTTTTTTAATTCCTTGTTTCAAAACAGAATATTTTTTGTAGTATAATGTACCAACATTAGTATATTATATAATTTTAATTTTGAACGGGTAATATATGAGTTACAACTCTTAAGTATTTAAAGTTTTTAAGAGAAATAATAGAATGGATAAGGGATACCCCGAAAATGTTAAACAACTTTCCACTCTTCAAAATTTCATTTTAATTTGCTATTATTAAAACTAATGAACTTTGCTTTTTCAAAACTTGGTTCTTATAGATAGAAATAATAATATAAATAATATTCTACTTAAGCCTTAAGGGTATGAAATTCAAAATATGTTTAATAAATACACAGACAATTTTAAAAAAACGGTTCAAAATATTATTTTGCAATGACTGAGATTATATGTAAAAGAAATAATTAAAAAAAATTATCTTATTCTCTAAAATAATTAATGTTTTACATTAACCTCTTTTAATTACGTATGGTTTTGAAGAAGTAACTTGGTAGCAGATCAAGAAAAGCTGGGGGTATCTAAAGAATTATTAAAAAAGAAAGATACGACGATGATGAAAAATAAATATTGTCAATTTTATACATTGTGTATTATCATAAGTTGATCAGACGTATATTATAAATATTATATACATACATAGTACAATAATTCTGACAGCTTCGGCAGAACATCTTTTTGTAAAAAACTTTTATTGATTTGTTTTTAGTGTGGTATTATTKCAACCGAAGCGTAATATTGTGCGTTGTTGTTATTATTATTAATACAAAAAAGCATACGTATTAAAATACAAATGTGTTATTATAATGTCAGTAAGTTATTAGCTACCTATCGAACTCTATACGCACGAATGATAAATAGTAATTATTATTATATTGACCACATATTAAGGAATATACGTATAGGTGTAATTTAATCCCCTCACATTTTGAGAATAAAATATTATCATACCTGTCGCAACGAAAAGTCATCAAACAAACTTGATAATTGATTGTTGCAAATGGCAATGCGCCACATACTAAATTTACAGAAATACCTGATATGTAATACACGTGTA